GCAAGATCTGCCTGGAAGAAAACCAAACACGTCCACCTTTCCGTGTGGGGATGTGGGGGGGGTTGGTTGGGGGAAAGGGGGGGGGTGGAAACAACACATAACACACAGAAAAAAAACATGAAAAAATTTAAAAAAAAAAAAGAGAGGAAAGGGGAAGGGGGGGTGTGTGTGAAAGAAATAAAATAAATAAAAGGCGTGCAATGGTTTCGGGGAGTTCCAGAGGAGGATTGCGGAGTTCAGTAACAGCGCCGGGGGAGAGGCGGCCCGGGGGCGCCGGCGTTTCATAACGCCCCGCTCCCCCCGGGGCAAAAGTCGGGGCTGCCCCCGGCCAGCGAACAAAGCCCCGCCGCCCCCGCCTCACCTTCGTTGACCAGTTTAAAGCTTTGGGATTTCCTGCTCCTCTTCCTCTGGGCGAACTCCATGGTGCGGGCAGGAAGGAGCGGGGCGGACACAGGACCGAGCTCCGTCCCTCCGATCAGCAACACACGCGGGGGTTGGGAGACACGGCGGCTCCGGCGGCGAATAAAGGGATCCGGGACAAGTTGGCTCCGCTCTCCCCCCCGCTCCCGCCCCGAACTTTGAGGGAAAGCGGGGTGCGGCGGGGGGAGCCCCGCGGGGGCGATGCCGCCGCCTTCCCCCCCGCCGGCTGCGCGGCCGCGGCCCGGCGGCGAAGGGCGGCCCGCAATGGCTTCGCCGCCGGCGCCGGGACCCCGGTGCCACCTGCTGGGGGAAGGAAGGCGGCGGTTCCGCCGGCCGGGAGCCGCCGCCGCCACCCCGGGGCCGGCCCGCCGCCACACGGCCCCTCCGCGGGCGGAGGGCGAGGGGCTGAGGGGCAGCGCCATTTTGTGTCCCCCTCCCGCCGCCCTCTCGCACTCGGGCACCGGCGCTGCCCCCTCGGCGCTGCCCGCGGGCGCCCTGAGGGGCTGAGCGGGGCTAACTCGGAGGGGTTTGGCGGGACCGGGCCGGGTCCGGCGGGGATGGGGGGGGGGTGGGGGTGTTTGAACTTGGCGTGCGGGAAAGCGGGCGAACCGCAGGGACCGACAGCAACAGCTGCTTGTTGCCGTGTTTCACGGGAATCGCCACAAGGATGTGCCCGCTGGTGTCACGGGGCGAGGCCTGGAGGAGAGCGCTGAGCCACCGGCTGGGCTGAGGGACGCCGAGCCTCAGCCCAACCGGGCTCGCCTCAGCGAGAGGAAGGGAGTCCCTCAGCCAAACCGGGATCGCCTTAGCAAGAGGAAGAGTCTCTGCCTCTCCAGAGGAGTGAGATTTAGGGCGTCTGGCAGCCCTCCCGCCGGTCACCGCGAGGTCACCGCAGCCATACGGCTGGCCCAAACACAGCTGAAATTAGTGCTTTGATTTATTCACCACTTGACGCCTTCAGCCACACTTCCAGTTCGCTCGCTGTGCTAAATTTCACTGCGGGTGGAGCGTTTATTTACAGCCGGGAGTGCTTTTTTTTTTTTTTTTTTTTCTGCCTGTTGCATGTAGAGGAGGGACCCAGGCGTTTACAGTTATGACTACTGATAACTGCAAACACAGCTCCGATCGTCATCTTGTGTTTTTACATGTAGTCAGGCTGTGTTGTGACAAGGAGGAGAGTGTGTGATACTTGCACACGCCTACTCGAACAGATGCAAATGCAGATCTTCCCTTGGTCTCCTCAGAGTACCTAAGAGAATCCCGTTGGCGCCTGTAATACTGACCGACCCTCTCACTCAGAATAATGACATAAAATTAGCAAGAGGAAAGCAAATTGAATACTAACAATAGCGATTTGTATCCTAATTGTATCCTATGTGCGTAGACATAGTCAGACCTGAATTCTTCAGTGCAAAGTGCTCTCCAAACACCACACAGACAGCATATGTGATTCTGAAAAGCAAAATCGGGAAATATCCTTAATGGTGAAGCAATATCAGAAAATATGCTTAATGGTAAAATTTATTACATGCTGGAAAATTAAATTCACGAGGGAGGTTATGGAAACCTCACAGATTGGGTAAGGGTGTAATTTTCTATTAAATTGCTAAGTGGAAAATCCCAGAGGCAATCAATATGCTACTTTTGGAATTTTCCTAAACTTCTCTGTAAGACTTTGTGAAAGGAAACTGGGCTAACGTACTATTTAAAATCCTGCATTATATATTTTTGGGAGGATGCTGAAGCAGCAAAGGTAGATGGATGTCATATGCTGTTTGCTGAATTGTGTGGGTCCAATTAATCTCCAGTATAGCACAGTGAAGTTGGGTCTGAAATGCAGCAGCAGTGTGCCCGAATTTTGTGTACTAAAAGAGTATTTTCTCTTTTTTTTTTTTTTCCTCACCCCAAGCAGTCTGCTGATTCTTGTCTGCTAACTTTATTTACAAGACTTAGAGCACTGCTGAAACTGTTGTGTTTGATTCTCATCCTTCCTGGGACAATAGGAGAATTTTTATAAAACATAAGGCCTTCATTTACAGTTCAGCTCACATGATGGGCTTTATCCTGCATTTGCCAAAGGAATGTGCAACAAAAATAAAAAGATCTTTTCTGTTTTCCTCTGTTACTCAATTTTGTGAAACATTTTGGGGTATAATTTATGAAATAGTGATGGCAGTGTTTTATCAGCAGCTCCCTTATTCTTTTTAGTTCTTCCTTCTCTGTGCTGGATTTTTTTGCTTAAAGGGACACTCATGGTTTGAAGTAGCATTTCAGTCTGGACGCTGCAGTTTCCAGTAATGTTTTACAGGAGTTAGCACATCCCCTTTTTCATCAGTATTTCTCATTTTGCTTTTTCGAATTAGAGAGGTCCATCCTTTCCTACACGCAAAATGAGGCCCGATCCTGCAAGCAGACCTCACTGTGGTCACTCAGATGAGTAAATCTTGCAGCTTTCATTTCTGAAAGCATCAGCTGGTGTGGATGCCTCGGCCCCAATCCTGCCATCTCATCTGCATAAAAGTGAATTAGAAACTAGGACAAGGTGACTTTAGGTCAAAGTCTTCTAAGTTATCCACACACCACGTAGGAGGATCCGGTAGCTGGAAGCCAAGCTTTCTGTCCTGTGCTGCTGGCGTTTCTCAGCTGGGACTGAGGAACAAGCCTATGTAAACTCAAAGGCTCCCATGTAACAGGGAGCTGTGTGCCTGTTCTGGGGGCATTTTGGGGTGGGCGTCCTACAACTGGGCTGGGGTCATTGCTCGTTTGCCATAGGCCACCATTGCATTATTCAGGCTGGAGGAATCCGGAGATGAAAGTCCTCTTTATCCCGTTAGAATGGCTGCCTTGTGTCCCGAGATAGTTGCCGGCTGCACCGCTGTGGCAGCCAAGTGACTTAGGATAAAGTGCACTGGCTGGGTGGGGGCAGCCAGCTTTTAATTTCATCTTTTGTTTCAGTTCACGTCTCAGTATCAGACTGTTATTGTTGCGTATTAACCCATAGTTCCTTTTTTATTTTTTCTCATGAAAATATGAAAAATCCAGTGTTTTGTATATATTCATGAACAGTTGCAAAATATTTCCTCAAACCATTAATTGAGTAACGTGTTTTTCAAAATGCCTTGAAATTAGCCAACTAAATAAGGGCTTTATCTTGCAACATATCCCAAGTGAGTATGATCATCCCTACCTATTTCCTAGTTACTAATTTATTATGCTGCAAATTACTTTGAAAATATCCCCTCCCCATTCTAACTGATATTAATTTTCCCAACAGTTTTCTGGTGTGTAAAATGGTTTTTCATTTTGGATGCTAGGTCACGAGCTAACCAATTAAATATAATTAATCTAGTAATACTTCAGTACTAACAGCAGCAGTGCTTTTCTCATCAGGATGCCCCAGACTTTTTCTCTGCTTCCAGGTGTGTCCAGTTCCTTACAATATTTTGATTGTTATTCAGAAAGTCTGATGGTGTAGGACAAAGAAGACTTAAAGAGTCCTAGAGCTGAGGAGAATTATATGAGTGTACTAAAAGCTTCAGCTTTTCAGCTCCAAAAATTATACTGGAGAAAGCCCCATAAACTCAATGATTTGATCTGAGGCTTAAAGTCTAAGAGTCAAAGAGTCCACATGAGGCTGGGTGAAGTGGGAAGAGACTGCTGACTGTCATATTAATGGCACCATGATTATTACTCATCTTGGAGCCTGACAAAGTTCAGTGGGCTGTTAGGAAGCAGGAGAAGGGTGAAGAGGTAAATTGGAGACCAGGAGCTCCACAGGTGACAGGTTAATAGGTGAGCTGTTTGGTTAGTTACGTGTAATGAATGTCACTGAGGATTTTATAAACTGTGGCAGCGTTTCCAGGGATGTCTTTGTGGTCATATGACATATGTAGGCAGTACTTCTTCTCAGTTCCCAAGGTGACAATAGGCCTCATTGACACTGAGCTGTCTTACTACAAGCCTTCTCCTTCAGTAGGCTTTCAGGTTGGCATATCCGTGGACTAGGTCGGTACAGAGGAGGGTTTCTGGATGTCCTGAAGAAGTCTGAAGCCAGGAGTGCTCTAAGTTTTTCCTGTACCATTTCAGTTGCAGTACTTGACATCTCATGTCTCTATCCTTACTATAATTTTCTTTGGAACTCTGCTTTGAAACGGCTTCTTGTCCATTCTGCTGCTTGTTAATCTTCCTCATATAAATTTAAAAGAAGAAAACTACAGGGCAGACCAATGTTTTCGTCTGTTTGCCAGCTCAGGGAGACCAAAACATTCCAGAACTGTTTCAACAATAAAGAATATAACCATATCTATGTACGAAGTGTTCTTTCTGTGGTCAAAAACCCTCTGAATATTTTCAAATCAGAATGCAACCCCCTTTTCGATTGTAAGGGCTTTTCCTCCCCTCTGTCATTTTATATGCAGCTTGGATTAAGGCTGCGGGGAAGGGCACTGTAGTCTAAGTGTCAAAGTTTGATGGTCATCCACTCTGATCCAATACTTGTGGGATAATTGGATATTAAGGTATTATCTCTTCCCTAGGACAACCCAGCGTTTGGATTTGAATTCTGGGAGGAGTGGCAGAGGAGACCAAGGTGTCTAAGCAACAGATGTGGTCGAAGGGTAAAGAAGAAAAGGTTTCAATGCTTTTATGAAAGTGAATATGGAAGGGTAAAAGAAACCTGCCCATATGCGTGGATGTCCTCCGCTTCCTCTGCAACACGGAGACACCATAGGCTGCACAAATTTCAACCTAACAACCCAAAGTGCTTCAAGGGAGCTGAGGGCAATGTGAGTAGCACTTGTTATTTTGCCTGAAACTTTCAGGTTTTTTGCTATATAAAGAGTAACAGTGCTTAGAAATTTTAGTCTGGATGTGTCTTTGCATTGCTACTGCCTCTGTGTAAAGCAGTGAAGTGCAAAGCCAAGCTGGTGTCCTGGGAAGGGAAATGTTTGAGCGTTGGGTCGTTTGGAGTCGATGTCAGTCATGGCAGCCCGGGCACAGCAAGGGTCAGCAGTCCCAGTTCTGGTGAACGCTGCAGGCACAAACTGCAGCAAGCTCAGCTCAGGGAGTCCCTTGCCAGGGAGAGCTCCAGGAGGGTTATGCTCCTGACCATACCTCCATTTCTATGTCAGTTTGCTTCAGTCACGGCTGCTGAAGGCAGATGTGGGAGTGCAGCGATGCAGTCACTGGAGCTATGGATGGAAAGCGAGTGCAGCATGAGCTGCAGGAACAATAGCATTTAGCACTG